TTGGGAGGCTGAGGTGGGCGGATCACGAGGTCAGGAGATCGAGACCATCCTGGCTATCATGGTGAAACCCTGTCTCTACTAAAAATACGAAAAAATTAGGTGGGCATGGTGGCAGGTGCCTGTAGTCCTAGCTACTCGGGAGGCTAAGGCAGGAGAATGGTGTGACACCCAGAAGGCGTGAGCTTGCAGTGACGAGAATAGTGCCACTGCACTCCAGCCTGGGCAACAGAGCAAGACTCTGTCTCAAAAAAAAAAAAAAAAACAAAACAAAAACAAAAAAAAACTCTAATATCAAACTTTTTCTCAAAATTATACGAATCTCAGAGGTACAACCGTATCTTAGATACCATCTTATTCAAGCTTTCTATTCACAGAAAAAAAAAGTCATAAAGTTAGGTAGCTCGTCCAAACCTGTAAAGATTCTCTGACCCGAATACAGTGGCAGTTAGATGCAACAGCAGGGTTAATAGTTTGCCTTTTTTTTTTTAACCATCTCATCTCAAATAGTTGAACCTACTAATACTACAGAATTTACGCATGATGAAGCTGGGGAGCAAGTGCCTCAGAAAGATAGCTTCAGTAGCTCCTGCTTCAGCCTAAAGTTCTGTAACACATGAATTGCAAAATAATTCCATTTATAAAATGAAATTTCAGTGTGTAATGCTGGGCTCAGGTGTTATCTCTGTAAATAGCACATGAAGTTACCTCCATAGTTATGATTCATTATTGTTTCCCTCCCTGTTGATTACCTGTATTCTAGCCACTGGTGACATGTGGCTGTTGAACACTTAAAACGTGGCTGGTATGAATTGAGATGTGCTATAAGTGTTAAATACACATTGGTTTTCATGTCCATATCCAGCTCTGAACCTCTGTACAATTTTGTTTTACTGGGGGTTTGGGGTTGCTATGCATATCTCTTACCAATCCAGTCAAACCTTTGGGGCCCATCTTGAGCCCTGCTCTTCCATTAAAATGTTTGGGTCTAAATTCATCTTTTTTTGTTTATATCTCATTATTCCCTTTCTCCCTTTTTAAGCTTACATAGGTTCTTAATGATAGTCTATCATGTTTTGTTACCTAATAGGGGCATGCATTTATGCCTGCCTCTAGAACAATAGTTAAATAAATTGCTACTAGAAATGAAGTTGCACCTAGCAATGTGTTTTCAGTCTCTAAACATTTAGCAGAGGGAGGGCACATATCTGGATATTAATAAATACATGTTGAATTGAGTTTCTGAATATATATTTGTCATTTTAAAAACCCTTGTATTTCAATATGTTATAGTTTTCAAAGCACTTTCACATATGGAGCTTTATTTAAATCTTCCTAGCAGTTTTATTAGATAGACAAGGCAATTATTCTTTTCATTGTTAGATGATAAAGTAGGGACTTAAAAAGACAATATAAAAACTGGTGACACTTTTGTTTCCTGTGCAATGTGATTTCCTCTCTTTTGGTTGAAAACACTTTCTAACTATCATGGAAGAGTAGGTCCTGGTTTCTTTTAAGCTCATCCGAAGTTATTTTGAATCCTTTGTTTATAATCACAATTTTCTTGGATCTCATCCACTGGGCTATAGGTACACACCAGGGTCTTTGGGGCAAGTTGTTGTGAAAACTCCTTATAGGTATATACCAAGCAATAAGTGATTGTTCTTTAGTATATGGTTTTCAAATAAATTTTATCTCATGTCAACTCCATTTGATTAGGAGTGCATGTGTGGGATCCTTTGTGTAGAAAGTTGTGAAACACTGTTTAGTTTTAACAAGGAAGTGTTTAGTTTCATCAAAAGTATGAGAATGAGGGGAATGGGGGTAATTAAATGCTATATTATTTAATAGAGTAGGTCAGTTTTTATTTCTGGTCAATATCTTTTTTATGAACATTCCTAATATGAAAATGTCCTGTCTTAGTCTGAGTAGAAAGGGAAGGAAAATGAGACCTCTGGATGTCATAGTCCTTTTCTCATCAGAAGAGACCATCTCTCTCCCTCAATTTGCTTTTTCCATCTTCAGCTTCAACAATACAGCTATGTTCAATTGTCCTTTCAACTAATGTTGGTGGTTTTGCAGCAGTTTTTGTCCTTAGGTTTAACTGTTTATTCAGAATTTGCCATGTTAAAGCTAAACAGGAAATTAAATCACAGATATAAAATGATATCTTTATTAAATATAACCTCATTGGGTTTATGTAAGAGGTAAACACAAGCTCAAGCCTAAAATACAGTGAGAAGTCATATATACATTATTGATATATAATTAAGTTAATTATTCTTTAATTTAACAAATATTTACTGAGTGCTGGTGTGTGTCAGGCATTGGTGCTGATTACTAGGAATATAACAGTGAAGATGACGTTCAAAATCCTGCTCCCACATTTTAGTGGGAAAGTTAGTAAATGTTTTAGAATTTTCTCTTTCCTTTATTTGGTCAACTGTTTTTTGTGTTTGAAAGAAATAATTTGAAAAACTCATTAGTAAATGACAATGAGCCACATTGTTAGGATGTCTCTACTAAAAGTTCTTGTTAGGAAGAACTTTCCCTTGTCACACTTATTGAAGTAGGGGCCAGATGTGGTGGCTCATGCGTTTAATCTCAGCACTTTGAGAAGCTGAAGCAGTAGGATCGCAGGAGCCCAGCAGTTCAAGACCAGCCTGGGCAATAAAGTGATACCCCATCTTTACAAAAAAAAAAAAAAAGAAAGAAATAATTAGCTGAGTGTGGTGGCATGAACCTGTAGTCCCAGCTACTTGGGAGACTTAGGTAGGAGGATCGCTTGAGTCCAGGAGTTGGAGGCTGCAATGAGCCATGATTGTGCCACTGCAGTCCAGCCTGCATACCACAGTGAGACTCTGTCTCCAAAAAAAAAAAAAAAAAAAAAAAAACAAAAAAAAACTTAATAATCAAACTTTTTCTCAAAATTATAGAATCTCAGAGGTAGACAGTATGTTAGATACCATCTTATTCAAGCTTTCTATTCACAGAAAAAAAAAGTCATAAAGTTAGGTAGCTCGTCCAAACCTGTAAAGATTCTCTGACCCGAA